TCTTTGTACTCCCCCCCCCCGGTTTCGTGGCGCTATTGGCAGCTCCACTCGATATCTCAAAAAAGAACCCCTTCTGTCGTCTCCTTGCAACTCGTCCCATGCAATACGGATTTCCTTCGCATCTGCCCAACAGGTCAAAGGGGAGAATGTGCAGCTGACGAACGCGGAGTGGATGGACCTCATGTACCCCACCAACGAGGACCTGCCCTACGTGTATGACGAATTCAAGTGGGACCACTGCAGGTGAGCAACACTCATTCCTTGGGTCGTCGCCACTACTCCTTGCGAGGACCCCGCAAGGTCATTTTTTCCCTCCGATTCTGAACCAACCCTCACCAAGAGCAGCAGCAACCGTCGTTTCAGCGAACTAAAACGACCAAGCGTCGCCCCTGCGGTGCATGTAGCGAGACGAAAAGTACCCACTCGAAACTTCACGTGCGAAGGTCAAGCTACAGCCCAGCGCCACTCAACACGTTGCAGGTCTGATCCCCCTGCTGAGCCCCTTTCGTCGATGCTTACTATTTCTCTGGCAGCGAGGATGGGTGTTCCTTCGGGACTTGATGGGCACGACACGAGCGCACGGTCGGCCCGGGAAGACTTGTGGCGCTTCTTTCCGCACCTGGAGTTTGCCGACGACTCGAAAAGCAAACGCAAGAAAAGCAGTGGGCTAAGGAAACACGTGCCAGCGAGGAGGGGCGTCGGAGCAAAAAGACCAGAAAGACTCGGCTGGCTGATTGGCGCGCAAGCAGCGTGAATTTCCGACAGACATGTCTACAAACCGCTCGTGATAAGGCAGCCTGCAACTCAAGTCCGGTAGTGCCATTCTTGGGAGGTGTAGAAGACGACATACAAGGGGGAGGCTGTGGCTCAGACGACCTACCAAAGATGCTTGTTTTGCATGCCAAGGGGGGCGGGGGGGGGCGAGGGAAGGAACGCGTTGTTGTATTCCCCGCATTGTGGTGGTTGTGGTGGAAGGCCGGTCGTGGGGAATGAGAGCAATTCTCAGCTCCTAAAGTGATCAGCGGGTTGATCGAGGCGTTCTCTGTTGAAAAACAGAGTCTTATATAGAAGTATCTCCATCGGGGGGTCTCATGTCCCCGCCTCTGTAAGCACAGAGGTTTTATTGTTCCGGTATTTGCATACACTTATTTTATGCGTGATGGGTATCAGGTGCGTGTAGTGTATCAAAATTATTTTGTGCGGTTTGGTCGGTCATGTAGTTGTTTCTTCCACTTGGGAAGAAAAGTGTTCAGTACCTCTTGCATCAGAGTGTCGTATTTTCCAGTCGGGGTGCTTGTGGTGACGAGGGAGCGGGACCTTCAACGTTCCTGCACGTAGCCAGCGGGTTGATAGAAGCGCCCACTGTTTTTACAATCTGCTGAGTCTCGCGTAACTTATTTTCGATGCGTCATATGTCCGGCCTCCGTGAGCGTACAGAGAGATTCAATTTTGCATCCTATTGCAAATACCATCACCTTGTTGTTAGGTGTTCGCGGTTGGGTCGCCCTTGCAGATGTACACGTCCAAAAGTGTAACGCGTCCTCTTGTCGTTGATGCCAACCTTGAAGCCAACTCTCCCACCTACCTGTTGGTTTTCATGGGGCTCTGACGTCCAAGGTTTCTAGGCCGCCCTACCATGTCGAAAAAGGGCGCGTTCTTACTCTATGCGTTACATTGTGGCTTTCCCGCCACGATCCTTTGTAGTTTCCATAACCATGTAGTGACTTTGGACGATGGTATGTAGTCGAAGGCGTTTTTCTTCCGCCACGTTTTCATCATGGAGCATTCGTCGTTCTTTTCGTGTTCCCGCGGTGCGTTTGGGTGTGTGTTTTTTGGCTGTGATCCCCTGCCACCCTAGCCGCCGTGCAGTTATTGTTGTTGATTTTCGTAGTCATGGTGGTACCGCTTGTCTTCCGCCGGGGGGGGGGGGGCGCTCCATTGTTTTTGTTGTTTGTCAGCCCACGCCGATCTTGCTGTTTTCGGCCTGAGGGCTGCTTGATGTGTTGTCGGTGGTCGAAAAAAAAAGTTCGTGCTGTTGGCTTTGGCTTGAGGGCCGATATATAATTTTGTTGTGTTTTCGGTGGTAAAGAAACACTTGTTGCGTTTTCGGCGGGGTGCGCGCTTTCTTTGTGTTGCTGTTTTCGATTTGTTTTCTCACGTGCGGCGTTCGAGCAGCATTCTTGCCGTGCTGCTACCAAGAATAATGGGGGGGGCGGGATGTTGTGCCATGATCCTCGTACATGTAGCAGCACGAGAAGTTTTCGTGTTGTGCATGCGTTTAGGAATGATAATGACTCCGGTTACCCGGAAGGGTCCGTGGGCCCTAGGTGCAAGACCCATGGTTTTCCTCTGGGCCTTTATGGTTCCTCGTGATTCACAGCACGAGGGGTTGTTTGAATCCCGCTAAAAACAATGAGAGTGTTAAGGTTTTCATTGGTATCTATCGCAGCTTGCCTCGGGCAACCGTGCTGGTCCTAAGAGATGTTCGTTTTTTTTGTAGGTGGTCTGTCGTTTCCACCGGGCGTTGCAAACGCGGAATTTCCAAGGGGTTACTCGGTAACGGTATTTTAGGCGGACACGTTTTCGGCGGTAATGCCAATTGGCGGTAATTGTTTGGCGGACGACGGTAATGAGTTTTTCGGCGGTTACGACTTTGGCCGAGGCGGTAAAACCAAAAACAGGCGGTAATTTTTCGGCGGTAAAGCCATACGGCGGTAGATTTTTTGGCCGACGGCGGTAATGCGTTTTTCGGCGGTTACGACTTTGGCGGAGGCGGTAAAACCAAAAAACGGCGGTAAAACGGCGGATTACCGGGACCGCCCACCACGGCGGTAATTTGACGGCGGTCATGAGTGCCATTGCCACATCTATATGGCCATAATTTAAAGCGACACCAAACAAGGCCGCAAGTGTGGTGCTGAGTTACGGCGCCCGAACAGACGGCAAACCTCCTTCCCAAGATTGATCATATACTATCATCATAGATTTTTTTGTCGTTCTCACCACATTTATTTCAGAGTCAGCACGACGAAAAAACATAAAAACATAAAAAACGGAAACACGTTGAAGCGTAAAAACGAAAGTTACATTGCCTGCGCGACACGACCCACACGACCATTCGTGGTACCTCATCGGCTAAAGGTTAGATCCGGTATTCTCCTCTGTAGTGCTTATTGTTCTGCTGGACCACCTGGGCGTGGACCAGGTGTTTGTGTGGTGTGGGCGGTGTGCTGTGTGTGCGTGCGTTTCGTTCCCTGTCCACTCAATATAATCAATGGGTTCTTCCGAAACCGAACCCGAACCAAAGTTCAGAACCAAAGAGGAACAGATGGTCTAAGTTGGAAGCGACGCGCTGCAAAGCTCGTTGTTAGTAAACTACTGGTAAGCATTGTGTAGGGCGGGTGGGATGGTCTCAAATATACCCCTTCTTCTCTGTTCCGGCGTATGTATTTCGGGAGAGAAAAGGGGGACTAAACTAGGTGGGGTCATTTTCCAACATCCTTTCTGGAATATCTGACTCTTCCCGATTTCGTTCCGAAATCTAGATGCGTCTAAATCCGAGATTACCGAGTAAACCCTTGGGAATTTCAGTTGAAAGTTATGGAGGATAGGCCCAGTTCCACGCGAAGAAGAATGTGTCCGCCCGTGTGCCGGCTCACCGAGAGAGTATTATGTACTGATCGATGAACCCGATGATACACAGAGAAAAGATAAGAGATGGATTCGTTGCCTCATACTTAATTTTGAACCAGAAAAAACTATAGTCGGACGCCGAGGACAGGCATCACACAGCGTATCACACCGCGTACGACCCAAGCATGATAGACCAATCGCTCTCACGTGCGTTTCACACAGCGGAGCCTGGCGCGACAACGGTGCGGCAAACAGACATTTGAACGTTCGTTGTGTCCCCGAAGTGTCCCTACTGGGGCGTCCAATACTACTATGAGGGTTAAGGGCGCACTGGAGTTCGCAGACAGACCTACCTCCCTTTCAATACTTCGGGAAACACCATTCATTCAGTATATCTTAGTTTTCCAAGTCTAACTCCGGTACGAAACTTCCATCGCAAATTAACCTTCTTCGCTGACCCCCCTACCTATCGTGTACAACGTTAAGTTAGTCTCTGAGATCGTAGCCCCTCTTGTGTACACTACAGACAGATTAGATTAGCGGTCCGTGATTTTCCGAACAACCCTCCCATCATCGAGATGGATGGGTGGTGAGCGACAAGCAGGGTTTTCGAAGCTGCGTTCCGATTTTGAAACGCTTCAAGCACCTTTTGCATATGGCTAGACCTGCATACACATGACCTCAGGCATTCAAATCGACTATGGCGACGAGTAGGATATGTGAGGGAAGAGCTGCACTCAAGTTCGCGGCCCCACACACTCACTCACATAGATAGGCGCTGAATCGCGGTCAATGTCCTTTCAAAATCGGACCGCACCGCAGCGGCGTCAAAATTCCTGCTTGCAGCTCAACGATCTCGATGATGATAGAAGGATCGTTTGGAAAATCGCCACCCCTACTCTGTATTATGTTGTGCATCACGAGGGCTGCAATCTCAGATGCTAACATTGTACACGACGGGGGGGGTCAGCTGACGGACGGTTAATTTGCGATGAAAGTTTCGTACATTGTAATGCATCCGGTCGCCCCGGTGGTCTAGTTCGTATCCTCGAAACCTTCTAGAGGTCAGGTCAGGGGTTTGTTGTGGGATTACACGCGTAGCGATCCCTGAAGACCCTGATGAAGACTCACTTGTTTATCAATCGCTTGGAACAGCAGTGCTTGTTGTTGCTTTGCTCTCAAAGGTAGACTGAGCACAGAGGGGGAGGACATGCTCCCTCTAAAGGGGCCACAAAGGTCCTGTCCCCTGTTTTATCCTTCCATTGGGAGTTACATCTCCCGCACTTTCCTCTGGGCATTACTCCGCAATACCGTTGGCACTGGCTACATTCAAATCCCACAACACTAGCCCACCCTGGAGGTTCTCATACGCAGATACTTGAAACCTAGGAACTTGACCGATAATTGTCGAATGCCAAAAAATGAAAGGATCGAGGATGTGGAGCTCCAAAATACCAAGAATCACCCTCCCACACCTCTCACACGATGAGTCGCAAGACCATCGTTTGACCCACCCAAAAAGAACGATAGAGAAGGAAAAGACGGGGGCTACAGTAGGAATGAAACAGGGGGACAATAAACACGACAAACGAAAACGTCGACGCTACAAATACCATAACAGGTCGGAACCCAAAGAAAGGACGAAAACGCTGGAAAAACACCGTCGGAACGGCGATAACCAACCGTATCGACAAAGCGATACAAAACACGAAGCAGTCGGTGTCGTCCAAACGACTAAAAGCGACGAAAATACTCACGGCTAGTCCGTTTAAGCTAACTAACCACAAATAATACCTAATGACGCCATAGCACGACGTACCCAAAAAGGTAAGAAACCAATCGTTTCGACAGCGAAAACCAGGGGGTCATGACCCAACATAAGGTCCGACGAAATCATACCGCCGCAGGGAGCCGAAAATAAAGCTCAACCACACGAACGGCGAAAGAAGCAGAAACGCAAAAGGACTCGAAGGACAAGACGACGTACCAAGCGGTCGAAATACCAAAACGAGGCCTAACACTGCGCTATCCAGAGGCAACAACAGCCTACACGTACTTGCAAATGAAAGGACCGGACGAGATCAGGGGCGACCTCAAGTCCGCATCCCATCTGGGATAGAACACACACACATCACACAGACAGATCCCAAGACACACACGATTGCTAATCGGCGCGTGCCGAATCATTTGGCGACGAATGCTCCGCCTCCACGTTTCGCGACATGTCGACATTGCGAAGTAGAAGTCCTTTCATGAGAGCGCTACCGCCGTGAACTTGAGTGCACCACGAACCGCAGACGGCAGATCCGAGGGTAGAGTAACGAACAACGGAGAGGGCGATCTTGACCGGTCCGGGGTCGTCGAGGAAGCGGACGATGTAGTCGTCGGCCCGCGCTGTCGGTCCAAAAATCTTGCCCAGCCACCAGAGTCCATCTTGAGCCTTGTACCAGAAGAACGCACCCACAGGTAGAGGAGTATCGGCGAAACGACGGCCCCAGGTTGAGCGGGAGACAAAGGAGTAACCCGGAGGCAAATATCTCTCACCCTTAGCACGTGCCAATTCGCGTGCGGCTGCGCCAATACGCATTGCACGGTAACGGCGATTCGTCTGACGGTGTTGATCGAGCGTACCC